ATTTCCTGGGTATTTATTTTCTTTATTCCTTCTGTGGCCCCACCGTGCCTTGTGCCTCTGTCATTTATGCCTTCATGGCCACATTTGTTCACATGCCCACTCTGACCCTTGGTATGAATTTCTTTGGTGCGCCATTTTTTTTTTTTCCCATTCAAAGTCTTGCTCTGCTTCCCAGGCTGGAGTCCTGCGGTACAAAGTCACAAACACAGCTCACTACAGCCTTGAACCTGCTTTAGCCTCCTGAGAAGCTGGCACTATAGGTGCCTATCATCTCACCCAGACTTTTTTTTTTTTTTTTGGATAGGGATGGTATTTCCCAGGCTTATTACAAAGTCCTGACCTCAAGCAATCATTCTGTCTCCATCTCCCAAAGATGTGGGATTAGAGGCAGGAGCCGGCATGCCAGGCCTCTTCTATATCATAGTGTCTTAGTTTATTCCTTAATCTCTTTCCTTTACTGTTTCATGTTGATATTTTTTCCCAAATTTTACTTATATTTCACCATTCATAAGTTTTTCCATTTCATTCTCTCCCTCAAATATACTAGAAAATTTAATTATGTTCCTCACCATACCTTGTACTTTTTCATAGAAATATACATTTGTGCATTTATATTGAATAGGAGCAAAACCTATTTAAAAAATATTTCTTACGGAGGGAAAAGGGAAATTTTCTATTAATTTCAACGATTCCTGGCACTTAATCTATTAAAAAAAAGTGGCCCATTCTTGACCTAGGTGTTCTAAAGATTCAAAGAAAAGTCATAATTGGAAACCAATAATTACACATGTGCAGAGAGTGAAGTAAAACTCACTGGAAATCAACCGTCAGGGAGAGGAGAGAAGGGGAGGGGAAAAATCCTACAAACAACACTATTTGGGTGATGAACACACCTACAGCTGGGACTCAAGCATCACAAAAGCAATCCATGTAAACTAAAACATTTGTACCCCCTTAATATTTTGAAATTAAAAAAAAAAAAAAAAAAAGCCCCAGGCACAGTGGCTAATGCCTATAATCCTAGCACACTGCGAAGTTGAGGCTGGTGGATTGTTTGAACTCAGGAGTTCAAGACCAGCCTAAGAAAGAGCAAGACTCCATCTCTACTAAACAAACAAACAAACAAACAAACAGATAAACTATCTCAGTATTACAGCAGGTGTCTGTAGTCCCAGCTACTCAGGAGGCTGAGGCAAGGAGGACTGGTAGATCCCAAGAATTTGAGGTTGCTATGACCTATAACACCATAGCACTCTATCCAGGACTCAGAGTGAGACTCTGTCTCAAAACAAACAAACAAAAGTAACATCTGGATAACATACCTAAAAGAAACTGAGAAAATAATTCAAAAATGGAACATATTCTTCTTAGCAAAGTATCTCAAGAATGGAAGAAAAAGTATCCAATGTACTCAGTCTTACTATGAAACCAATTTATAGCTTTCTTATGAAAGCTATAACCCACTTATAGCCCAAGAACAAGGAGAAAGGGGAGAGAGAGGGGAGGGGATGGGGGAGGATGGGTGGAGGGAGAGTAACTGGTGGGACCACACCTGTGGTGCATCTCACAAGGGAACATGTGAAATTTACTAGGTGTAGAATATAAATGTCTTAACACAATAAGAAAAAGCCATTAAGGCTATGTTAACCAGTTTGATGAAAACATATCAAATTGTATATAAAACCAGCACATTGTACCCCATGACTGCATTAATGTGCACAGCGATGATTTAATAAAAAAAAATGTAAATCTCTTAGAGAGTAGATATACGTCTTTTTAGCCCACATTCAATTAATTTTTAGCAGAAAAATTAATAATGGATATATTAAAAAGAACATACAAAAGAAAGATAAAAATTACAAGTAAAAAATTCTTATTTCAGTCTTCACAGTTCACTATAAAACATATTTGCACC